TTTTGCATCTCACCTCTCATATAAAATGTATATTTAATATACTTTTTTGTTTGTTTGAGTAAAGAGAAGCACATTGACACAATAATGGTCATTTAGTGCTGGGAAAAAGTGTAAGACAGAAACTTCAAAGCAAAAACAAAGAAGTAGGACCTACCAGTTGTGCCCTCCAACCACCCCCTATATATTTACAATCACCATCTGTTCAGATTTGTTACATGTAAAAAAATTAAAGGCACTACACAGGTTTACAACATCATACAGATGTTTTGAGACATGAACAAGTGAGAACCCCAGGCAATTGGCCCAGGGAGTGTTCCACTTTTCAACCCCAGGCCCATTGTCCAAAAATTGCCTGCAAATTGATTTCCACTGACCTTCTAAGCACTCGGTGAAAAGTCTACGATATTCATGAGTTCAGAAGAAAAAAGATGAGCAATGCAACAATCATTTTTTTAAAATTATGTGTTTTAGTTTTTATATTCTCTCAAGTTCCTTTTTTTTAAAGACTATATTAAACTATTAACATTTGTGTATCCTGATATCTGTCCCTGGAAATACTTCTTGTCAAAGAATCTATTGAAACTTTTAGTATTAGCTTATTTTTGTCTTACAGAGCAGAGGAAAGAATGATCACTGGTCGCACTAAGCACTCCTGCTTCACCCAACATAACACAATGCTAAGAAAGAATAGCAACAACAACAGCAGAGTAAATTTAGCATCGATAGGTTCATTTTTAACTCAAGCCTAAAAGCGGTATTCTTAGCTGCTTTACTAATACAAAACACATGGTAGAATGTGCTTCTGTTTGTGGTGTTTTTGGCTGCTTTACTAGTACACATGCAGGAATGTCTGCTTGCTCAATAGAGTGAACAGAAGCACATCGACACCACGGTCATTTAGTGCAGGGAAGAAGTAATTGTACCTAATACATACAGTCAAACCTGTCTGAGACTGCCATCCATTTTCGAGGAGAAAACTGGACGTCTTAGACAGGTAGCCGTCTAACACAGTCATCATACTGTAAAAAAATATGCAAGGAGGAAAATGGGAAATGGACGTTTGTACAACTGATTGTCTTATAATACAGGTAGCCGTTAGAATAAATTCGGCTGTATATAGAATACATGTAATACAGTATTTAAACATCCCAACACAGAGTACAATAAAAGACTTCATTTTTTTTAAAAACGATCAAACAACAGTGTCAGTGTCCGCTTTTAATCTTCAAATCCTTTACTCAACATGATGATGCATGATATAGCTATAACAAAAACCTGTTACAGAGACCTTCTAAACAGCAGAAATTGTAAATGTTAACAGCCTATAGTGTAGGCCTACTTCGGTCACAGAAAGCCAATTTCAAGGTTTAGATGGTAAGATAAGATAAGATACATCTTTATTGTCCAGATCCTGGTACATTGGTTCGGTGTTTCACCACGTGTACACACACACACACACACACACACACACACACACACACACACACACACACATGCACATACACGCAGGCTTACAATCACATGCATAATATAAATGAGCAGCAATATAAACAATAATAATCTTAAGCTAGATACTCAATGTTATTCTGATGCATGCTCTAAGGTCGTATGAATACTTATACAAGATGGTTAAGATGGAAGAATTTAGAAAGATGATGGTAAAAATGACCTTCTGTATCTTCTTTGTTACAGATCAGAAGCCTAGGTCTTTTACTTCTGACTGATGTTTTTATTTGAGGGAACAAGGGATGTTTGCTGTCTAAAAAGATGGAATTAATTTTTTAGTGCAAGCTGTTATGTACAATTCATCCAAATAGGGAAATGTAGATGTTGAAATTTTACATGCTTTTCGCATTAGTTGATTTGATTTTTCTTTATCTTGTTGTCTTGTGTTCCCGGCCCATGCTGTTGTCTAATATACCCCTGGAAAAGTATTCCTTTCAGAGCTCAGTGCTCATAACTGGAAAGCAATTATTTTTTTTTTTTAATGAAACCAACATCCTGTGAGCAATAACTCATGAGTAACTAGCAACAAAAGGCAAATACAGGACAAAAGAACATAAGTCTCTCTAGTTGTGGCAGACAAACTAATACACCATCACCACCACACTCCACCACCACCCCCACCCTTCCACCACAACCCCATTCCCCCCAATGTGTTCTCTTATTACACTTCATTCAGGCTGGACCAAGCTTACCTGCACAATGGGTATATATCTAGATAAGTATGTGAAATAGGAAAATGTGTACCATAAGAGATAAAAGTCCACAGATGTATTATTAGTACTGCTAGTAGGACAAGTTGTTAGTCCATTCTCGTACAGGAACAATCGATTTAGAAATAGAGTCTAACCTCGTTGTACCGCCCCCTATTGTACCACCAGCCCTGCTTACCACAAGGTTTTGCTAATGTGCAAAAAGAGCCTACTCTGTAAACATAGTACTTGCGCCGTTACACCGCCATCCGCCAACTGTCTCAGGTGTAAGGCTGTAAATTTACCCCGTTGTACCACAAGCAAACTGGTTGTTAGAAGTACATAGTACATACTAGGCTACACATGGCGCACGGCACATCCACTTGGTGGTTGCTTGACATTCTTTAACACACAAATCCCAACGAGCTAGGCCTTGGTCTAGATCAAATGTTTTTCACAGATTTGCTCCCTCCTCACCCATCCCACCTCCCCACTCTTGTCTTGTAGATTTCAGGCAATATGGATAGATCTACAGTAATGTAGTGTTTCACAAGCGAACACAATAGAATGTGTAAAGTAGAAGAGTAGCCTAAAATTAAAATCAAGCATACCTTTGTAATTTAGCATCAACCCCACCCCACCCCACCCCCCCCCCCTCCCCCGTGAATCAGACTAAAAATTTGATGTGCTAATTATGGAAATGATTTCATTTTTAGGCCTTGATCAATATTTTTGTTCAAAATTGGAATTGAATTTTTAAGTTGCCTGGTGAAATTTAAAAGAAACCTTGCCCCCTCAGCCCCCCCTCAGTAAAATATCTGGCACCACCAGATATCAGCCCAAAAACTTACACTTACAGGCTGGCGAATGCCAGTGGGGCTTCTATTTAGTGAGGACTCACGCTCAAGTCTACATGACAGATCGAAGGGAGATAACTCATTACTTCATCTCGTGATTGGTAAACAAGTTTCCTTGACGTTGGGCAGTCGCTACTACATGTATTGAATTGAGGAGATGAAAACCTCATTGTACCGCCAGCCCTGCTGTACCACCAACTTCATGCTCGTCCCAAGGTAGGCGGTATAACCGGGTTTGACTGTATCTTAAAGGTATCGGCCTTTTTGGGTAATATCTCAAGGACCATTCCACATAACCAGGCATTTAGTAACACAGACCTATCATCCCCAACACCGTTCGCAGCCCAAGAATAGAATTTATGACAATGATGTTTCCCCACTTTGACTTTGGTGGACAATCCGTGCCCTGTTCACGAAAATCCAGGTTCCCTGTAAAGACATTACATTTGAATACAGCATAGGAGAAGATAGAGGTCTCCAGACAGTGGAATCCTGTTATAACGCGAGGGAGGGGACTGGTGCGAAAAGTGCATTATATCAGGATTCTCGTTATAAGGGATCCAGTAATAAATTCAAAGGAAAAATCTGTTTATTTCCCCTCATGATGATATTGTTCAACATGACGTCTTGGTCTTACTTGATCAAAAATCGAATAAGGTTTCTTTCTCTAGCGCTAGCGATGTTGACAGCATGGCTTTGGTGGTCAGAAAGAAAGGGCTCTAGGCTAATTCGCCCGCTGTGTTGTTCCCCACCCCACCACACCCTGTGGTGCGTTCCGTCTGCTTGCGCGGGTCACACATTCGCTCCATCCATCACAGCATTGTGACCTCTCCATCCTCGCATCGGAGAAGTGAAAGGCATGGTAGTGGTAGGCCTGGATAATAATAGCCTGGCCTATCACGCGATGCGTTCTGCTTGTCTGCGCATACCACACCCTCCCCACTCTTTCGCTACGGCCTTCATTGTTGGCACACGTGGGCTCTCCCATTCTTTGTTTCGCTCAAGGAGTTGTTAGGTCCTTGGTTTTGCTAGATCACCAACAAATTTCTCATCTGGCGAGGTTTTATATATGTATAACTGGCCTATGCGCTGTGCACAGCAGCAGCAATATTCCACTATAACCGACTCACGTGTTTGTCTGATTGCACAAAAGCAGTACTTTATTTTCAAAGATAAAGAAGGGAAAAAAACAGGGTTTTAGAATAGTGTCTTCATAACAAACTTCTCCTTATTTCAGGACTCCAATATAAGTGGACTCCACTATATCATATTTTCAAAATAATACGTGTTTGCTGGTTTCTTTGTTTGCTTAAATAAAGAGAAACATATCAACACAATAACAGTCATTCAGAGCTGTGAAAAAGCATGAAAGACAGAAGCAAGGGAGAGAAGAAAAAAAAGGGACCTACCAGCAGCATATATATATATATATAATATGATTTAGAAAAACAAATTTTCACATTTTGGACTTAACCATACAAGGTTTTGTAAATTATCTGTATGAATAGAAAGTATACAGTGGGTGTCGTATTCAACGAGGTCACATTCAACGAGAAGTCGGCTCCAACGAGGCAATCCTTAATCCCTGAATTTTTCCTCTATATCTCTTTGTAAATGTACGTCAGCTCCAACAAGGTTGCAAACAGACCGAGGTCGCTTTCAACGAGGTCGCGATAACCAAATAAAAGCAATTAACGGCCCCAAAAGCGAAGAATTTTTCTCCTTTTTCTCTATCTCAGGCAAAGCACAAGGCCCATCCTCGATTCCTAACACATCTTATTGCTAGATCTAGTGTGCCTCCTAATATGGGCCCCAAAGCCAAGAGGATGGGCGAGAGTTAGCCTACGGTAGGGATGGGAGGGGGTGGGAGGGAACTCGATGCGGGCTGTGTAAAACTGGGTGAACTCTGGATGGGAAGGTACAGATCGATCGAGATCTTTTTTTTTTCTTGATTTTCTTTTCGTCCCCTGATCAGAAAATCCAAGCTCCCGCCTTTACTTTATGTTGATCTAGGTCTAGATGTGAGTATGTTTCCACACTAGAAGTGTTCCAGACAAAAAATATTTAAAAGTGCGGAAATGACAGTTAAAACACAGCTCAAACACACGTACACTGATGCTGCTTGAGATTTTCGTCATCAGGGGGAACAACTGTTTTAATTATTGGCATTGATACATCATGTAATATAATAGCTTGTCTCCTTTCTTTTCTTGAGCCTTTGTCATGTTCAACGAGAGGTCGGATCCAAAGAGGACAACAAGCCGGTCCCGGCAACCTCGTTACATGCGACACCCACTGTATTAACAAATATTCTTCGGTCTACCCAAAAAAAAATCGGGAAGATTGACAAAATGACTCAGTTGAGAAACACTAAACATTGCAGGGACTACAAATTGAATCCTGTAGGGCTGACACTACTTACTATGGCAACCTGAACTCCAACCAACTTTTACAGTTCTGTAACTTGTTAATATAGCTTTGAATCTGCTTATAAATTTAGCCTCAAGACCGTTACATTTGAAAGTCAGGATGTATGTGTGTACAGGTCTAAAGCTGCCACATAAATTTCACCCCTGTCATTGACACACAAATTCCTCAGGCTCTAACTGAAAGCCATATATAAATCATTCTCAGCTGGTCAAGAAACTCTTCACATTAAAAAAAAAGACTAAGCTTATGAACATATGGATGAATGGGAAAAGTAAACTATCGTTTTAGGTTCATAAATGATTGTTAAGAGGATATTGTACATGAGAAACATTCAAATGACGCTATATGAACTCGAGCCTGACAAGATCAACTTGTGTTGGTAAAAATAGGATGTATAAAAAATTTCTGAGATGCTCCCATGAACTCTGGGGAAGGTTTCCAAACAAAACTATTAAGCACAGAGTGTCCCAGAAGATTTTGAGAGTTGCTTGCCTCATCCACAATATATATGAGGAAATAATCTACAGGTCCACTCGGCATCTCCCACTGTAAAAAGCACAGAGTATAAGGTTCTATATCCTTGGATTCAGGTTCTGTAAGATCAATACTTTGCTCTGATAAAACCACTGAGCTGGTGGTAACATCTGCCAGGTAAGCAGGCAGGATCACTCTTGAAGAGACAATAGCATCAGAATCCAGTTCCAAGCTTGCCCCTTCAGCAGGTCTGTGTACTTTGGAAACACCATCTACAGGACTGGAACTAGGGTGGCACACAAGGTCACTTATTTTGGCAGAGCACAACTTGTGATTCACTTTGGCTTTCACTAGAGCAGCCCTAGTAATTTTGGGATCATCTTCTCTGCTTTCCTTAGAGATGTCAACTGAAACCTGTGTAAGATTTAAGTAAAAAAAGTCAGTCATAAAAATGTTTAAAAATTGATACGTAAATATATCATAACAAAGATTCAGAGCTAGACACGCAGGCATATAGACAGGATGGCAGAAAGGCAGAGACATTCACAAAAAAGCAGGAAGACTGCCTGACTGAGACTGAGAGGTAAACAGACAAGTAGACGTTTTTGCAGCTATCATGAACCCAATAGGTTGTCATCACCTATTTTGAGGGGTCTACTCAAGTTTAGTTTAGAACTGCCCATCCATCTTTGGTCTGTATCTGGCACCAAGCTCCCACCTGCGACTCCTAGAAGCTGTTTATATGCTACTGCTGCCACATCCTCGGCAATGGCTCCAGCATGCCAAACCAACCGGGTAGCTGTCAGGTCTAAAGCCCTCTTTGAAAGGGATAATACCTCAACCCAGCATGTATTTGTAAAGACTTCAGAGGGTGGAGTTGCCACAGTGCAACGGTTTCTCCACCTTAAACAAAATCACACACAGGTTATCTTGTGCAAATGCATAGGAGCGGCAAAAAGCCTCTATCTCTACCTCAGCAGCAACCACCTTTACGTGCTCCCAAAGCCCACAAGTGTTTGCCTCATGAATTTGACTTGTCAACAACACTCAAGTCTATAACAATAAAAAGAAAAAGACTACATGAATGACTAAAAGGTAAAGGCCTTTGAGTAGATGCAAAAAACAGACACGGCAGATAAACATAGTAGTAGAGCATTTAGTGCAGTCCCTCTCCAGATTAACTGTGACATGAAAATTCATGACTGGAACAAGACATAACACAGTGGAAACCATATATAACAGGCCCGGTAACAACAGGGATCCGGTAATAACAGGGATTTTTGAAATCCCCGTTTTTTCCTACTCTTTGTCTCTATTAAAAGTTATTGGCAATAACAGGGCCTCATCGGAGCCCAATCGGTTATAGCCAGGGACAAAGGCTCATTATCATTAACAAAGTGTAAAAAGTAAGAGAGAGAGAGAGAGACAGAGAGAGACAGAGAGAGACAGAGAGAGAGAGACAGAGTAATGCAGTGATGGAGCAAGCCCTTTTATATCAGGTTTCCACAGTATTTTGCTGCGTGTTCAAATTTCTATTAACCATCTGAAGTGTGCCACCCACGTTATATATATTGTTATTTTCACCTGCATTACATTTTTTAAAAAATGTTTTACTTTATTCCCATAACCTTTCACTTATCGTCAATTCTACTCATGTTACCTAACTTTTGTTACTCTTCTTTTGAGTGCCATTAGGTAAAAGCAATTTAGAAATAAAAATTCCAAACCTTGGTGGGCATCACTTGCAATCATCAAAAACCTCATATCTCAAGAAATACATGTACACAATAAAAATAAAAGTACTCAAGAATGTTTCACTTTTTTACAAACTGTCCAGTCAAGCACATGAGCCCTAAACCCTTAGGCCGGTCCTAGAGTGGCTCTGTAGGGTTGACCTGTAGCTCGCCTAGCGCGTGCAGTGCAAATGAATACTATAGTGGAATCCACTTAGCTCTATAACGATTCCTGAAATATCGAGAAGTCTGTTCTAAAGACACTTTTCTAAAACCCTGTTTTTTTTCCTTCTTTATCTTTGTAAATAAAATACTAACATAACGCAATCAGACAAACATGTGAGTCGGTTATACCGGAATATAGCTGTTGCTGTGTACAGCGTATAGGCCATTTATTCATGTAAAACCTCGCCAGTTGAGAAACTTGTTGGTTATCTTGCGAAACAAAGAATGGGAGAGCCCACGAGTGCCAACAATGAAGGCCGGATTGAATGAGTGGGGAGAGTGTGGCATGATCAGACGAGCAGAACGCCTCGTCTGATAGGCCAGCCTAGTCTAGATTATCTAGGACTACCAAGCCTTTCATTTCTCCTTGCACGGGCAAGGTGAGGTATGTTCCCATTGTGCGCAAGCAGACGGAACGCACCACAGGGTGTGGCGGGGTGGGTGAAACAAGCAGATAATTTGAGAACGACAGATGTACGCCATTGGCCGATATTTATAGTAACAGCCATCTTGTTTGACGTCATTGAGGGATTCCCACTTAGTTGTCGTTAACGGTGGCAACATGACCGCAAAGCACTATAGCAGCATTTTTAAAGCCTGTAGCTTACAGTGGCGTGGTGGCGGAGTGGTTAGAGCGCTTGTCTCCAAAGCAGAAAGTCCAGGTTCGAGCCTCGGTTCAGCCACGGATTTTTTTTCCGCCCCCTCCTGCCCACACACCTGTAATGGGTATCTGACTTCAAGTTGGGTAGTATAAGATTTATTTTTTTATTTTTTTAAATATATAAAAGATAACTGCAAAATGACCAATTTTTTTGAGTTTTTTAAATCCATCAAAGTCACGACATCACATGCGTTTTCAGTTATCTTATATATTCTTTGAGAATTTTTTTTTTTCTTTTAAAAATTAGTCCCTCAATGACGTCAAACAAGATGGCTGTTACTATAAACATCTGTCGTTCTCAAGTTATCCGCATGTGAGGGACAACACAGCGGGCGAGCTAGCCTAGACAACTTTCTTTCTGATCGTCAACGCCGACCTGTCAATATCACTAGCGTTTGAGAAAGAAACCTGATTCGACTTTTGATCAAGTAAGACTTAAAGGTCATGTTGTACCAAATCATCATCAGGGGAGATTACAAAAAGAAATAAACCATCAACTCTTGGCCACAAATTCCCCCAAAAAGCACTTTATCATACATTAAAATTTCCAATCGAAAGGTTGACCTAGTTTGGACTGTCTGTTTACATTATATTATGACCTTTATTTTAACATGGATATGTGGACTGGAATAGAATCTAATCTAAAATTGAAGATCGGTTCTCGAGCCGCCGGGGGTGGCCTAGCGTACTGACAGCACTTTAGCCGCGCCGCCCCCAAGGCTTGGCGTAGCGAATGAGTTTTACAAACTTCGTTTTTGATTGACAATTTTAAATCTGAAGTCATGTCTCAAAGTCATCCGCTGCGTTATGCATCTGACGTCACAGCTGCTAGGCCTAGGCCTACACACTGCACGCTTCCCGGGGCCAGCAAAAAACCGTTGGTGTCGGCTCCTTCCCAGAGCCGGTACAGGAGGCCTGGTGCCAGCACTGACACCTCCGGTAGAACCGACACCTCCAGTACTGGGTACCGATACCTGCCCATCCCTAATGACCACCGGTCTACTAAAACATGTACCTAGTAATCATTAATTGAGTCTGCTCCATATGGAAGACCTTTGTCTCCTGAGAATTTTGGTACCCTTCTTTTACCTCTCTCAGTCCATTTTTAAGAAAATGGGAACCGTTTTAATATTTATCAAATATTGTGAAATTTGTTAACAGGCTGCAACCCCATGTTTGACAGATAATATAACTGTGCCAAGTGCACCAAACATCTACATATTAATAGGGGACAATCACAATAACATAAATATGGAGCCTAATTTTGTTCAAGACTGTGAGATCATTGAAAAATTGGTATTTTATTGTCTCAAACATGCAGATTTGTCGTTATTTCGATACGGCTCTATACTGAGTGCTCCCCAAGTTGGTTCATTACTTTCGGAGCTTCGCAGAAAGAAAGATGTAAAATAATTCCCAGCCAATGACTCTATCCAAACAGAAAAATAAACTGACCTTTCTATTGGTGCTGTTTTTGAGCCAGTATTATACATATTTCGTGTAAAAAACAAGCTTAAAAAATTTTCTGACGCCACTATTAAAGGCTTTCTATTTAAACTCCATAAGGCCAAAAATATACCACTGAAAACCCCATTCAAAGTTCTACTGTTCTCCACCAAAGAAAAGATGGTATTTGATCATCAATCTTTCCACGAAGCACTCAAATGCAACTTTATGAACTGGTTGACCTCGCATCCCAACCGCGAGAGGCTTTGCCTTCCACGATTCTCCACTTCCGAATATACAAACAACTTACACCACTGTGACAAAGAAAAGCTGAACTTTTTCATGGCGTACATTATTTTGTGTTTTATAGCAACAGAGCAAAGAAACAGCAACCTGAATTATCCTGATTTTTCTGAAACCGTGCACTAAACAGGCAGCAAATTGGCTTATAACAAGCCAATTTGCTGCCTTTTTATATGTCTTGTTTACGCTAGCTAGTATTTAGTGTTTCAAACATCACATCAGCAAATAGAAGTATAAAAAAATGGATGCTAGCATGCTCTTCACTTCTATACAGTGTCAGGACTCAGTGTTTCCAGTTGAAGAGAATAGCAAGAGGTTGCAAAGTGCACTGGAAGTTAACCTAATAAGCAGTGATTGTATTGTTGACAAAGAAGGTGGACAGGAAAGGGTTTATACAACACAATGGCAATCCATACAGTATTACATTTTGAAGTTAAAACTAAGTATTACAACAAACCTGAATCTGCCCAAGCTGAACTACTCTAGTAGGATGTCTGCATGTCGCACGGTTTTCACACAGGAACGGAACCATAAGAAACCCAATGGTCATTTCAGTAAAGACCAGAACACCGCTCATTCTCAGCAAGTCCAAGTCCAGTGAAAAAGCACTGAAAAGTTAAGAGAAAGAGACATGATAATATAATCACTGCCTGATTCTAAATGGTTAACTCAGTTTCTGTACATTTTACAGGAGAGTGGAAAAAACTAAAAAGCAAGGCAATTATGGAGTCTACATGTTTCAGCTGTTTAGAATACGTAATGTTGTAGTTGTAGTAGTTGTAGCAACTCTTTGGATAAAAGTAAATCTGGCTGAGGGTTGTAGAGTGCACTTTTGGAACTAGCTGTTTAGAATCCTGCAGTGGCAATATGCAAAGCACTTTTTATAATATACTGCCAGTAATTATTTCACTTTAGCTGAAGCAGTCAAATGTGTGACCCTGTGCAAAGTATCAGAAATGAAAAAGTGGGGTTTTTTTTCAAGAAAACCACTCATGTTTCACATTACATATATTAATATTATGCAGTGGTCTCCGTTAAAGAACCTGGTTATCGGAAAGCAGAAAGGGTTCTTAGACAGACCAGATTCTAATATTTCAAGAGGCACTTGTTCATTTCCTTCCTTTTTTCTATGATGAAATAATGACCTGTAGGCAATATTGACACCCAAGACATGATAGAACGGTCTGCTTCAACAAAAAATATCAAATAAGCATGTGCACATGTCTGAGTGATGATCAGTGATGTGCGTTGTTTTGGGTGCTGAGTGAGAATGAGAAGCTTCAGAGTTAATTTTTACAACTGAACGTTGTCATTACCATATTATATGATATAATATGAAGAGCACAAGGGAAAAACCAGCGATGTCAGGCTTTAGCAATTTCGAGATCATTGAAAAACAAACTTTAAAGACTTTTATAACTCTTTTTCTGCTACAATGATCTCTCCACTGTTTACACTAACTTCAAGTATAACCATTTATGTTGACAATGAGAAATTTTCACTGTCCTCGTGTTACGGGTGTTTCGGTGAGAGCAAAATAATAAAATTATGTAGCAAACTGATAGCGCTGGTTTTTCACTTGTAAGCTGTTGGCAAAGTCTCTATCTTCTAGGAAGTCAATGAATCGTGAGCTACTTTACTCATTTGTGAATACAAACAAGACTAAATGATTCAAACAAGAGTATTGCACATCTTTTTGAAATATTTACTGTTTGTTTCTATTTTATTTAATATTCATTTTTGGATGACAACTCTAAGTCATCTGACTCTTGTGTGGCACTTGGTCCTCCAGCATGGGGTAATCTAAGAAAAGCTGTGGGGCCAGAACACCTTCAAGACCTTCATGTCAGCATATTTGGCAGCTTTGATGGTTAGTGAGCTCTTATAGAGGGTTTTCAGGGGCTGGAGTCTTGCAGCGCTCTTCTTTTCCACCGGTTCCATAAGCGGTGTCAAACGGACCATTCTAGCTCTCTCTATACTGCATTAGTTGTGGATGGGCCTGTGAATTGCAGATTTCAAGCAGAGGTCAAGTGGGTATAAGTTTTAAGGCAGGAGACATGGTAGTACGGTTTAAGATTTTCTGACACATTCTGGAATACGGCTTGTGTCATCCCCACTATCTGGATCGGAGAGGGTTTCCGAAGGGCTGTCTTGAATTGCTCCGCCCAACTTGCTGGCATATCTACAGTGACCTTCTCATTCTCCACTGCCATGTCTCTGTCACATTCTAAGTAGCTGTGGCCTTCATATATATACTCCAACCTGCCCTCGTGACCACCTGTCCACGACAGCCACCTGTTCAAATGACCATTCTCCCTCTTGCATTTTTTCCATAAATGGCACTGCCAAAGATGACAACCACAACCTGTCCAATCAGCTGCAACCACTCTATTTTATCAACCTTGAGACGACTATGTAAATCTCTCATCACTCAACACGTTGCCATTAGTTGTCAGCGTTCGTTTATATCCATGCACTTTCGACTTTTCCACCCCTTCCCCCTCCCCAGGCAATTCTTTCACCTCACCAGCTCTAATGCCGATAGTATCAGTATGCGAGCGCAACGCTCAAACCCTAACGTCAACAGTATCGGTATGGAAAATTTCGCTCTCATGACCGAAAACACTACTTTTGTGTGAAGCAGACTATAGCCTTATTGGAAGAGTAACCATTTTTCATTTGAAACAGACTATGACCAGAAGAGCAACCCAAATTTAGAACAAAGAAAGCTATATTCGTGAACCACGTGAGGGGGAGCGAAACTTGAACACACTTCCTTTCTTCACTTTTTGTATATAATAATTAGAGGAAAATATTATAACTGACTGAAATACTGAAGTCAAACAAAAAATTAATCCTGCTTTGAGTGTTCGGAAGGGCCTAGAACAAGAATTTCGACTATCAAGAACCAGTCTGGGTGTCATGATTCACATCATGAACTGACAGACTAAAATTATAGCTCAAACTCAGAGAAGAGCAATAACTTGAATGGCTCAAGTAGACCCATGCACTGCGAGAGTTGTAGGCCTAACAACTGTGGGAGGGCATGAAAATCTGCGAGTCTTGACCAGAAAACTACAACATATACTGTAGGTATAATTTACTATCACCCATCCAATGAAACGCGAACACTTTATTTCAATAACACAGACTTGCAAAGTATGAAGGGTTCCGATTCCGCACACGGTCTGCACCAACGTGCGCTTTGCAGAGAGCTCTAATCAAAATTCTGAAATTTGTTTCCAAGTTTTTGTCCTCTGGTGCTGCCTTAAACTCCCCCCGATAGCATCTTAAAAAAAAAAAAATCAATAATCCCCTCCCCTATTCCGTAGTCCAATACTTTGCAACACTGTTACTCCCACCAAAGATGGTCTTTGCTCACACAATGCCGCATTTATGTATGACGCGAATGCACGCAGGTTCACTGACCGGTCACGATGGCGAGCCCGACAATCTAAAAATCGGACGACGCTTGTATTTTCTTTTCTTTTTTTCCCACAAGTGACAGCACAGAGAAGAGTCCAAGTATTGATTAAATGTTATTTGCACAGCAACACAGTGTTTACACTGCACAACCTGCATGTCACAAATGTAGCATTTTCATACTACCACTGGCAAACTTCTCTGTGGTAACGAAAGCGAAAGTAGATCTTGATTTTCCCGATCGAGCCTCTGTGTCACATACCCTTCCACCAGGCGCCTTAGCCGCCTATTCGCGTGATAGTGAAACGTACTCTCGGATGGGGGGGAAAGCTGAACGAATATAATATCACAATCGCGACCGGAAAAAATGAACTTACTGACCTTAACGGATTTGGTTTTCAAATATTCCAGTTCCGCGATACTGATACTATTTTGACAAAAGATGGGACTTGAGACAATTAGGTCTACTCGCCCAAGCTGAATCTCGTATTTATCGCATTGCAGGATGCGCATTTTTTCATGAAAAGTCGTATTCGCGTATTTTAGGAAAACAATTGTACTAAAATACGTTAAATCGTACTGGTTGGTATCTCTGGTAAGGTTATTTAAGAAGCAGGACCTCTTGATTAAATTGCCATCTCTGACATGATCGAGCCAAATCGGAAAATTTGTGTAAAGTGCCTTGCTCAAGGTCACAACAGCACACCAAGCTAAGCCTCAAAACTCTGTATCTACTATTTCACAATTACAAGTCTGATAGCCTAACTACTAGAGAACTGAAATTACGTCAACATTCATCATTTTTTAAATCTGGTTGTGTTCAAAATCTCTCACTGTTGATCACAAGAATGAAAAACCTACAAACATTCTGATCTTACTTTGTGTTAGATTTTGAACATTACTGACCCTTGCAAGTGCTGTTTCCATTGGGAAAAAAAAAAGACAAATGCGTCCATGTTACCAGCTGGTCATAACATGATGAGCAAGTCACTACTACAAACAGTTTTAAAATTGATCGACTTTACAGTGAAAGTGTTGTACAACTATATAACAGTGCTGTTTACCAAGGGTGACGAGAAACAGACGTTCCACAGACATGTTCACCCTTAGGGAATGACTCATATATTTATAGAGAGAGAGAGGAATGTATAATACTGAAATATTAGTACATATGACTGTGCAAAAGTGTTGCAACACACAGATAGCAAAACATTATATTTTGACAATAAGACAGAAAGCTACCTTTGCTTCCAACCACAAGCTGCAGCCTCAGTTACACAAGTTACATAATGGAATTCCGTTCCCGACTCTACGCCAGCATCTCCGGAAATCATGCCGGAAATCATGCCTCGTGCTAAACGTTGTTGTACAGATGATGACAGTAACTGTTCTGTACAAACAACGACCCTCTTGGCATTGCCATCTTTTGAATTTTCAGAAACAACAAATCCAAAAGGAAGTTCAGCACCACTTGGGACTTTCCATATCACAGAGAACATCAAACTTTTGCAGGTTGCAGCCTCTACATGTAGTTTAAACAATCTGTGAAAAAACAACAAGACAGTAAACAAAAAAATTATGAAAAGACTATGAATTACAATAAAACACTTATCATCCCCACAACACCTGAACTATTGCAAGAAGAATGTAATCCACATTATATCCAATTTCTTATTAAAGAACTCAATCTTTTGCAAAAATAATTTTGGGAACACATACATATTAGTCCATCAAATTTGTCTAAAAGCAAAACTAAAGAGATAATATCTTGTCATTGTGTGAAGACCATAATTCTAAAGTGGCCAATTATAAAAGTCAAACAACATAAAAAATATATTAGCCATTACAGCTCTTCCCTTATCAAAGCCGCAACTTCAAAAGCACACTGAAAGTCAGATGACATTGCATGCTCCAATACACAAAATAAAATAAGTAAATACAGCAATTCCCCTCAAATTATAATACACCATTTTGAAATACAGCATGCACTGTGGCCAGAACAGGTTACAAACTAGGCCCAAAATGATGGTACAGCACTTGTTCTGATGTCTTTATACAAGGTTCAAAACTGCAGTTTTATACTGTTCAACCCCTTCACTGCTACGCTTAAAAATCAGGCCGTTTCACAGCATGATAGTAAAAGCTTAACTGAGGAAGGGTGAACGTTAAAAAAGACTGATGCCTCTGAAACACCTCGCAAGAAGGTTAGGGGTTCTAAAAATCATAACACTTCGCCCAACAAAAAACAAACATTAAAGCAACTCTCAAATTCACATACTTCCATTTCACTTCAAACATAGTAATAAAGAACCCTACCGGAAAACAACAGCCTGTGCACCAGTATCAGCTACATTTGAAATTGACAACCGCAGACAAGATCCTCCCTGATATGCATCTGACAGGTCAACCTCCATTTTTGGCTGGTTGGGGTGCCATACTTCAGAAGATACTTCACAAGAAAATTTTTCCACCGCTGTCCCCTCATCTACTGTGTCTTTTACAGCTGCACTCTGTGCTGTAGACATGCTCTCTGCTTCATCTGTACTGCATCTTTTCGTAGCTTCTGGTCCAGTGGCATTTTGGTCTGGCTCTCCCCTCTCAAAGTCATCGGTTCCACTTTCCACTTTTCCATCTTTGCTTTCTGCTGTCTTATTTTTGCTTGTCTGTGCCACGGGAACTTTAGTGATAGTATACCTAACAAACTGGCTGTGAGTAAAATTGGGCTGAACCTGCTGCAGACTCAAGTCCTGCCATGGAAAACTGTCAATAACCTGTAACATAATAAGGAAAATCACCATTAATTGAGGGCAACTGCAATAACTGTTGAGTTCTATCTAGTAAACAAAAATCACTTAAACTCAAGGCCTCTGTCCATATTTGCTTTATATGTGAGGCATCGCGGTGTAATCAGGTGCTCATCAAACTAAGGAAATCTAAGTAATCAGCATTTTTCCTCCAGTTTGGCAATTTTTATCGATTTTTTGTTTTTTAGTTCAACTCATTTTATGTCCATTTAAAATACATATATATATGAACAGATTTTACTGAAAAAAATTGATTAAAGCAACAAAAAATTAAGTTTTCAGTTTCCAAGGACTCTCAATCTATGGCAATCATGAAATTTTGGCGGCCATTTTCTTGCTAATTTTACCTCTGCAACAAGGCGATCCCCACCTCCATCAATTGCAAATATCTCGACTTCCAGTCAGGATAGACTGGTATTTTTTTTTTCATCGAAAGCAAGACAAACTGACAAGCTTTCAGATGATACCAATAACTCCACATGCCCAAAACCTGAGGAGTGCCTGATTCCACTGTGTCGTGCACGGCGTACAAAGACCCCTCTTTTAGTTGGCTCGGCGATGGAATGACCGGGTCACGGCGGGGCGGTCACCCAGAGGTCACTAACCCGACTTCCCGCTACCTGCCGCGGTAGCAGGAGAAATGAATTTTTCAACACATGTTTTATCGTCCTACACAAACAAAAAATATCATTTGTGAACACAAGTTTGTTCTTTAGAGAAAGCAACTAAACTTCTTTTTGGTACGAAATAGCAATACCATGGCTGCTCACGTTATGGAGTTAGATGCTCTTAAAATGTATTTCTATTTATAGTTAGTCAAAACAAACATATAGGGTGTCTAATAACTTATAAGCCTAATATTAAATTACAAAACTGCTACGTATAAGAGGAAAATGTGTTTAAAAATTGACTCACTCAAAATTTTGTTTCCAGGACGAACATGGAATGTGTCATGAGCATGATAGCTAAAACGCTTCCCTGCATTCATGACTTTTTGTATCCAATGGAATGTGTATGCTCCTGAATAATCATATACTGACGTATCTTCAATATACAGCACCGATTTCTTTTCACAAAATGAACATGTACGGAATAAAAGTATAAATACAATTTTTCTTTCTCAACATATCCAGCAGCACGCAATGAGGGTGCTATTTGCAGGAGATGCGACACAAAAATAAAACGCATTATGTCTATCTGGTTTGGGTATCTTCGTGCTCTGGTTTCCAGTTTTGAGATTGCTTGGTGGCTGCTTTCTGTGTCCTGTTCTCCCAAAAGTCAGAGAGCAAACATGTGTTGTTGTATGTGTGGAATACAGTGTTCCTATTATATGTGTTGCTTTGGGATAACTTTGCTGGGAAATAGCGTCTGAATGCAGACATGTAATTGTCGATTGCTACGAGGATTTCTGGAAGTGAAAATTGTTTGACTGGTTTGAGATGTGATATTGCAATGTGAACATGGCTAAATCTTTCATTGAGAAGATTGAATATTGCTTCTAGTCCACTTGCTTCCTCAATTTTTGCAGTTTCGCGGGAGTATTTTCTTGTTTCTGTACACATTGTGTTTGCTAGTTCCTTGTAGACATGGGGATGGAGGTATGCTTGAGGTGTGTTGCGATGTTTGCTTGAAATGGATTTTTGTATGCAGCCACCCAAGCGATGCCGACAAATAGAGCAGGAATTCACATTTATATTGTCAAACGCACACCAAATGTTCCTACTAGCGTCAACAGCTTTTTTGCGGCATGAATAGACGTGACGTAACACCACATCTCCTTTTGATATTTGAAATCGCGGTAAAAGACTTGACATAAATGTTAGCGGAATACGACTGTTCATCTTCGCCCCTCACATCAATCCCATAAATCAAGAGGATATCTCCTGACATTGTCTTACATAATCGGGACTTTCTGTCATTTTTTGGTGTGACAGTTAAATTTAAACGCCAACACACCTGACAAAGTTAATTCAGAGACTCTCCATGCCTTTCATATGTGTGACCGACCCATTGCAGTTTAACAATTTTTGCTTAGGAACACAATTCACTAACTGATTGCCAGTCACTGCATAGTGCTGGAAAAACAAAATTCACATCATTAGAAAATATGATTTGATGGCTATCACACCGCGCAAACAGAAATAAACACCAATGTTTCATTTTGGAATGACTTGTAATTAAATTTGAAGAGATCACATAATTAACAGCATTTCCGATCACTTACCACTCACAATTTAAAACTGTTATTATTCCCAAATGAATCAATGAAAACTGTTGAAACTTTCACAAGATACCAAGAAGACGTAGACGAAGCGAAATTGGTGAAGAAATAGATTCTAGGGGTAGATTGAGCATCATTTTACGGCTCATGAAATAAGGGGAAGAAACACGTTCTGATAAGGACAAGATAGGATAGCGTTGTGCACGAGTTTACCCCTGTCAATCCCCGAACCTGATGCGTGAAATTGCAGCTTACCTGCCGGTGATTTATGACCTACCGCGGGGGGCCCGGACAAACTAAAAGATCGCTGAGATGGAAAGTCGGACGCCGTGCACGACACATATACATATGCATGAACCTTGAGCCAGATGAGAAATATCACAAATTCAGCTGAAAATTTAGTTTCTCAGATCTTTTTATATTACAATATTAAAATCTCTGTACAACTTTCCTCATTTGAAAACATGTATACTGAAATGAAAGTGACACTATTGCATTCTTGTAATTTACAAAACTATCAAAGTACTATCCTGGTTTTGAACAGGTTTATTTAAGAGTTTTACAGCACTCGCAACTACATAAGGTCAAATGAGTAGTTTTAAGAAATCACAAGCATTATACAAAAGCATGCTTATGGTACTTTCCATGTGATCACCACAAATTTGTTTTTTCAGCTACTACATCTTGGACTGTCTCTGACCAGCAAGCTATCTTCTTGTACATCTTGCATTATGAATAGGAGACACGTATACAATGTATGCATTCATGGACAGATGGAAATAGCTTTTCCAAATTACATATATATACAAACAACAGGGTAAAAACTAACTAACATTGTCACAAAATCAACTCCTCTTCCACCAGTTGAGATATAACAATAGCCATGTAACTGGAAGAAATAGGTCATCTTTTTTCTCTTTTAAAACCATTGCTGGGGATGATTTGCGGGCGCTCTATAACAATCAGGAAGTCAGAATGTACTGTAGATTTCACATAAGTACTAAGAGATTACTTTGTGGCTGCTTTAACATATGCTAAAATTGGTCAAGAAATCAGTTACACTCTAAGACAAAAACTCCATCAAAATTCTTCCATCCTATAATGTCACATCTATGTTGTGCAACACCCACCTGGCCATTCAAGAAAAATTTGTTTCCATATCCTTGACAGAAAGAAGAAGAAAAGGGCACAGTTAGAGGCTTTGGGTCAAGATGTTTCCTCAACAGACCCCAAAACCTGTGAAAAATTAAAATGCTCATCAACAAAACACAATGTGCACATACAAAAAGACAGAGTTGGGGTACATGAAATTCTGTTTAACGTCTACAGATGTACTTGTTTATCTCTTCAATACTAGTATAGTACCTGCTATAAAACCTTAAGATAAGAGGAGCTTGCAAAGGAAAGTGAGGGTGAGAATGAGATGCAAATGATATGAATGGCAAAAAGCTAGGGAGAAAGTTAAGAGAAATATTGGAGCAAACCTTCCCCCAAAGTCCTGGAGATTTCACTCACATTTAGGTGAATTTGTCTGACAGAAAATTTCTGGTTCATTTTAACATTCATCCTCTCAGGCCTAGTTCTTTTTACATGAGAGAGGCCTAGCTCTCTATACTCAATAGAATGCAAGTTGAACAAAATGCCTCATGTGACATGCTGGCTCATCTGGCAAGTGGTCAGTCACACACAGGGTCAATATGATCGCAATATGTGTACCACTTTGACAATAAGCCCTGAAATGGTGGACGGCTCTCATGGTCTACAGGTTATGGTGTTCCCCTCTCATTCAGTAGGTCCCGGGTTCGAAATCTGATGGCGAATGAAATTTTTGTCCTCCAAATTTTCTCCTTTCACATCTTTTCCTGCTCTCTAACCACATTCTGTTGTCTGCTGTCATCTCCACTTTCTGCTCCCCTATCCCCCTCTCCTTTGCCCCCTTCTCTGAGCTCCTGACTTTTTCCGTAGCCAGTCTACTGCTACTCCTTGGCTCCTTCTTACTGCTGTCTTTCAGCCACACCCCTAATCTAATGGTAGTTAAGATCTAACATCTAACCTCGAATAAGGGCAAAAAATCTCACAGGTCCCGTGAGCAAATTGTGAATGTTAAAGATCCCTCGGTGGTCCTATAATTTATAAGAGTAGACTTCAACCGTCACACAAGTAAAATTCAAAATTAATTCCTACCAAAACTGAAAATGTTTAAGGCGTCCCATGTGCTCATATGACCTTATGCAGTTGTGAGTGCCGTAAAACACACACACAAAAAAAAAAGAAATGGTGGCACCTTTAGAATGTACAGGTACAGGTTCCAGAGCTCCCACTCCCCTAAGCCTTCCCATTATTGTCTTAGTCTGTTTGCCGCTATAGTCCTAATTGGGTTGGCCATGTGCAGAAGCTCATTAATTTCTTCTCTTCCGTTAGTGACTTTCCAGCGGGTAGTCCCCCATCGGTAAATTCAACCCTTCTGTCTCAAAATTGGAATACACAGGAATACACACATTCAAACTCAGGAATTGCAGTACTGGAGAAACTCAGCCAGTCCCAGGCCATCTGTACTACTGCTGTCACTTATTCTGTACCCCAGTCAACTCCTCTGGGATCCCCCTGTGCCCCTGGCTGAGTCACCCAATCCTCTCCTGAACTGTCTGGGGTCTTTAGCCTGTCTGTGGCAATTGGTGTACCCCCAGTACCTGCCTTTAACAACCTCTGATGGTTGTTTCTGGCTTCTCCTAGCCCTCACTAAATGTGAATTCCTTTTCTCTAGTCCAGAATGCCTTTGCTGGGTATCCTGTCACAAAATCTACCGTTTATAATCTATAACGGAGGGATTCCCAGCCATTTGAGCAGCCTCTGAGCTTCTGTCATGAGCTGTCCCTTTCAATATGGTCACTTACATAAAGTAACATCACCTGTCTTTTGAAGGATTGGACACACAATTTGGGTAAATTCTCTCTTCCATCAGGTATCAGCTATAAAATAAAAATCAATGGAAGAAGAGATAGTGCATTATATGTCTGAATTTAGCTGAGAGGCTTTCATTGGAAAAAAGTTATACCATCCTTCTGATAAGTCTCAGACTCAAGGAAAGCTACTTTCCCACATGAAGTATATGGCTAAAATATACATTATATTAGAATACAGAATACTTCAAACAAGTTAGAATACAGAATGCTTCAAACAAAACTTACATAATTTCATTAGAATCAAAACTCTCTGGTCCCAAATGTTCAAAGACCCAGCCTTGAGCGAAAATTGCACATGACAGGCCTTGAGACATGATCAGAGCAAGATCCTGCAAATAATAGAAGAGGGTCATATTATACTGTTCATCTGTGAGCCCTTCAAAGTTGGTGTTTACAGATAAATATCTATAACTTTGATACCTCGAAAAGTAACTTTATTGAAACAAAGCAAAATCAATCTAACAAACCCACAGAGTTCAGTAAAATCATTTTAGAATTTAAAATATTTTAAGTTTATGAATCTAAAAAAATGACCCCACAAAAATAATGAAATGTTCAATCAAACACTATTGTATTCAAATTGCCATCAGTAATGCTTATAATATCTATCTTTCATTTTATATTTGTTCCCCAAACTTCTAAATATCAACGTTCAATTACCAGTAGTGTTTTCAGCTTTCCAGCTTACACAATATTAACTGACTGTGCTGTATTAATAGGGTCGGAGAAATGTGCTAAGAGAGAGAGACTAATTCTAGCACTGATTCGCATTTGGTGCATTCATGGAGTGGGTTTGGTTGATGGACTCTACTTGTGGGCCCAGTCTCTACTGTTCATGTCTGCTTCTGTTTTCATGAGTCGTACAAGTCCCTTAACTTTAACCCTTCCCAGGGTTGTGGGGGCGCTGCATTGCTGATCAGAACAATGTACTAGCTGCCTCCACCTCTGACAGCCATGGCACTGGGTTTGGAGACATGAGTGTTGAGTTTATTGTCATACAGTAGAGGATAGACTGGCGGTGCCCATTCCAGTTCAGCCTTGACTTCTATGTATGTCACAGAGTTTTTCCTACTTCAGCCAGCCACATTCCGATTTCAAAGGTACTGTATGTTTTTTTAAACTGATTAGAGTATTTTCAGTTTTGGTAGAAACTGATTTAGATTTTTGAGCCAAAGCCTATTTTTATCAATATTAGGACAACCTAGGAGCAGCAGAGGAAAGAGTCACAAGAAAAGGAGAGAGGAGCCTAGCGGTTGGGGAGGGGGGGGGGGAATAGTTGAAAGTGGAGGGAGATGAAAGCAAATGACTGAAAAGGACTAGAGAACAGGGAAGGAAGAGAAAGAAGAAATTTTTCTAGCAGAATTTTTTTTCGTCCTTGTCAGGTTTCGAACCCGGTACAGTAGTCTCCGCCTAAGATCCCACCGCTTATGATCCCGTTGTTTTAGGAAAACAGAATTTTTACTATACAAAAGTCACCCCTAAGATCCCGCTCTGATGGTCTACATTCGGCTAAGATCCCGCATTTTAGATCATAATTTGCTAAACAAAAAAGCGGGAGGGCACAGCCGATCAACCAAGAGTGAAAAGTTGAGATCATTAAACTGTCCGTCGCGTCAAAGATCAACCACTATCGTGAATGTGATCACATACACGTTGTAAAACTCAATGAAGCGATACAATGTTTGCCCAAGACGGGATCACACCGGGGTGTGAACTGACCGACGCGTTTGTTTTCCCCACGCATCGCACTCACATCTGAGCTCGCCACCTAAACTTGCATCACTCGCTGGGTGGGTAGGGCCTACATGTTCTCTCCAGGCGGGATCACATCGAACCGTGAACTTGACCATTGCAGCAGTTGTCTGTACTCTCGAATTTGCGAGACAGACTGAATTTTAATTGGTGGATTCACAACGTAATGGTGTGTAACAACAAAGGCGATTTGGAGGGGGGGGGGGTGGACTCGGTCAGAGATGGAAAGCTATAAATTTTTGACAGGTAAAGAGGAGGGGCAACTGGATAAGCATAGATCTTGAGAGTCATGATAGGATTATAAGTGAAAATGGCACGCCTCATGCCACTATGCACCGTGATAGGTCATCAAGGTTAACCACTCTTTGCTCGTCATATGCCATAAACCCACCAAGGGGGCACGTCAGTTCATTGTAGAGAGGAGGGAGACCATTTTACCGATTGTGAGCCTTAACATGGGTCATCATAGATTCTTCCCTGGGTTCATCGGTTATGATCCCGGTTCACCTAAGATCCCGCATTTCCTTGCTCCCGAGCACCGGGATCTTAGGCGGAGACTACTGTACCTCATATGATCTTAGAGCATACATCAGAATACCATTGAGTTACAATCAGAATACTGAGTGTGTATCGAGCTTAACATTATTATTGTTTACATTACTGTGCATTTTATTTATATTATGCGTGTGACAGTGAGCTTGTTTGTGAGCGTAAGCATACTGCATGTGTGTGTATGTTTGTGTGTGTGTGTTTGTTTATGTGTGTGTGTGTGTGTGTGTGTGTGTGTGTGTGTGTGTGTGTGTGTGTGTGTGTGTGTGTGTGTGTGTGTGTGTGTGTGTGTGTGTAGGTAGCATAAAAATGGCCTCACGGGCACTCGAGGGCACTCACGGCCTTCCGACCGCATGGTATCGGTGAAATTGGGGTAATTCCGATCGCTGTTTCTTTGCTCTTTCACTATAAAACACCAAATGCCGTACACCTTGTAAAAGTTCAGCTTTTCCTTGTTGCAATGGTGTAAGTTGATTATATGTCCGATTATTAGGAGCTAGAGAATCGCTGAGGAAAGTGAAGCCCCTCACGGTCGGAATGCGTGGTCGGCCGGTTCAAAAATTGACACGCGTGCATTCAAATGCTTTGCGGAATGAGGGATGATTAAATACGGTCTTTTCATTGGTGGAGAACTGTAGAGCTTTGAACGGGTTTTCCCGTGGGATGCTTTTAGCCTTTGTCGTTTAAATAGAAAGCCTTTAAAAAATACCGTCAAAATTTTCAAAGATCATTTTTTACACGAAATATGTAAAATAACAGCCGAAAAAAGGTATCACTTTAAAGATCAGTCTATTTCCTATTAGAATAAAGTAAATTAGCTTGGAATTATTTTGCATCAATCCTTCCATGAGACTCGGAAAGCATGTGACCCCCCACTCGGGGAGCGCTCGGTACATTACAGTATAGAGACGACTTGCTCACCGCGGGGGGTGGTGCGGCGCCGGCCGGGTCAACACGCTGTGTTTTTGTCGAAATAACGACAGATCATCGTGTTTGAAGCGATAAAGTACTGATTTGTAATGATCTCACAGTCTTGAAAAAAATTAGGCTCAAATATATTTGTTATAGTAATTGTACTCTGTTAATGTGGAAATGTTTAGTGCACTTGGTACTCTTTTATTATCTGTCAAACATGGGGTTGCAGCCAGTGACTGACTTTAACAAATTTGATCAAATTCTAAACAACTACCATTTTCCTAAAACTTGACTAAGAGGTTAAAGAGTGGTACCAAAATGCTCAGTGGATATAGGCCTTTCAAATGGAACGGATAAATTTGGCATAAAGCTACTTTGAAAATTTAGTTTCTGGTACCTAGTGTGTATGTGTGTGTGAGTGTGTGTGGGTGTGTGTGTGTGCATGTGTGTGCGTGTGTGTTTGTGTGTACATGGTGAAACACCAAACCAATGTGCTAGGATCTGGACAATAAAGATGTACCTTATCTTATCTTATTGAAAGATTGAATGAAAGGCAAACACCAACATGTCCATACGCTTCTTTTCTGTAAATCTTAAAAATAGATGTACAAATAAATAATTGCCTATAGACCAATTCTTTCAGATTAACTTCTGCTTTCATGTACCAGATATTATCTTATTGCCAATAACAAAGCCCCTTTAGTTTGTACAAGTCAGCTGAAATAAAAAAGTGTGGACAATAGAGGGGGGAGGGAGAGGGGGAGGGGGAGAGTGAGAGAGAGAGAGAGAGAGAGACAAACAGACAGACAGACAGACAGACAGACAGACAGACAGACAGTCAGACAAAC